GCATTGAAGCAGTCATTTCTGCAAAAGGATTCCCAACCAAGTATTGAGTGCATAACTGAACATAATTATTTGAAGATACACTTTTCTTTTATTGGTTGGATGAAATATGCTAATTTTTTGAGATAGGGATTTTTGATTTTTCTTTACCTTTTTTTGTCAAAATCAATATTAAAACAATAAAAGGCTTGAACTACTTCGGTTGGTGTGCAATGAATCAAATATATTAAAGTTTAATGTTTATCAGTACATTACACAATGAACTTTATCACAATATGCTATTTTTTCAGGACCTATAAATATGGATGCCAGCGATCTTCACCAACTGTAGTGTTTAAGAATAAATTTATGAAATATGAAGACTGGGTTTCCATAGTTTCATGGCTCCTTCTAAAAAGGTCAAAGTAGAGCAGTGTAATTAATGAAGGATTAGTCACAATCATTAAAATGACGAGTGTCCCATGTTGCGTATTAAATTAAGCGTCCACCATGAAATCATCACAGCTGCTTCATCAGTGGATCCAATCAAGTCCAGGTGAGCAGTCAGCCCAGTTTCACATAGGATGAACATGAAGTTAGAAACGCAGTGTAGGACTTAAAAATAAATGTAAAAACACCAAGTAGTAAACAAGATGGGAAATATGAAAAATGTTACAGAGTCCGAACAGATCAGCAACGTCACAGGACAGAAGAGACAGAAACCAAATGAGGCCAGATGGAAGAAGGAACAAACTAAAGGTTTATTGAAGGCAGCAGGAGATGCAAAAGACAAGATAAGAATGGTAAAGTAGGGGTGGGGTGCACATACAGACACACTTCTGTGTTTAGATCAATTTAATGTCTTTGTGTTACAAAAGATTTTTTTTCTTTGTGTTTTACAGCTCGGGAGAGCCTAATATGTCTGTTCTGTTTATCAAAATATACATGTTCTGAACTTAAAGTGAATATAATCCAAGTTATTCTGTGGTACAAAAACCAGGAATATATACATTCATCAACCCTGCCTCATACAATAACCCCCACCCCACCCCATATAAAAAAGAAGAAACATAAAAAGCTTTAAACAAAATCAAAAGGCATATAATCTTCTACACATCTTCATCACAGCTAGGACTGTGTTCAGTTACAGATCTGCTCTAAAGCAACCTCTACCAATGTAGCTTCTGTAAAATAAGACATAAAAGGGATACAATATACAGTCTAAATCATTATAACGAATATGATGTGTCCAAGGCATTCGAAGAATAGAAATTTAAATTGTGTTTTTGTAGAACACCAAAGAAAGAAAAAAAAAAACTTAAATCTTAATACATAAACAGCAGGGGGAGAACGCACTTTGGTCCTTAACAGCAAAAACCGTCTGCAGCTACATGAAGAGTTTGTCGAGTCCTGCATAAGAATCGTTTACAAAAATAGAAACGGAGCACATCTACCAGTGGTCCGGCTTGAGGAAAACTGGTGCTTGAGGCACTCAGGAATGTGACAAAGTGTAAGACTTGTGTGATGGTGGTGCCACCTTGGACTTAACATTAAGGAAAAGTGCACTGACTGACTGTGAACACAGGCAGGGAATGAACGAGGGATACTACACCCTGCACATCTGATTTCATGAGGAATAAAAACAATTATACTGAGTTTTTAAACACAGCCCCACACTGTTGTAGCCATCATGTGGAAAATGCCTTTAAGCTGCCCTCTTCCAGGTGGGACGACCTGAATATAATGGTATAAAGGCATTTGTGGACAGGTAAGATAAAAAACACCTGAAAGAGGGGTAAACAAAGTCAACTGACCTAGCTTGTTTCAGCATCAGAATAAAAACTCAGCTCAAGGCACTGCCATTAAACTTAGCCACAACAAGTATGTCCGTTAGGTTTTAGCACATGTAAATCCTTATATTGCAAAAAAAAAAAAAAAAAAAAAAAAGATATATGAATATATGGTTTTAAACATATAAATATGAAAATATTCTTGCTAAATGAGGCCACAAAGGGGCCGTCCCAACAGGACTGACTGACTGACGAGGGGCTGTAAGACTGGAAGGCTGATTCCAGCTCTACATCAGCAACAACACACCTAACAGAGCTACGTTACCTAGAAAACAAAGCTACTAACTGACTTACATTCGCAATTTCTAAATACATGTGGCTATATGCATACAAAAACTTTAAAGAAAAAGAAAAAATAAAGGCTGAATGAAGCACTCTCTCTCCTGTTAAATTAAAAAATGCTGGTAAGGTGTGAAACGTGTCATTTCTAATCAAAATAGAGGAATCTGGCTGAGGTGAAGTAAGGCACAAGACTGTAGACAACAGCAAAACATTTCCATATTGAATAACTTCTTATAGTGGTATGAATTCCCAGAAGGGAGGGGAGAAACTCTGAGCCCAAACTTAAATTCTTCATCTGTAACCGTTTCTGACTGGCCAAACAGGATCAAAGTGGCTTTTCAAAACTAAAAGGAAAAAAAAAAAACTAAATTATTTCCAAACACCTACAACAGTTAAAGGAATGCTCACGTGTGTTTGGAGCGGTTACAATTTCTCCAGCTACATTTGGAGCGGGCCGGTGTTTTAAAGCGATTTGGTCTACGGGACAGTTTATCTGCTGCCTCTACTTTACCTCCAAGATAACATGCTTCTCTGCAGAATGTTGCTCATTTATCAGAATCCCTCAGAACCTTTGGTCAGAACAAAGCGACAAATGGGTCTGGCTGCATTTCTTCCTTCAGAAACAAATTATTGTTATTGTTTGCCGATTCCTGAAACAAGTTTGTTTATATTGAGTTTAACAGCTGATGCTGCGCAGGACTTATCAATTCTTGGTGGAATCACGCTATAAAAACAAACTTAAGACACACTGTAGCAGCTCCAACCCCCTTTTTTAAAATGAACTTCGAGAAGTATAACAGGGTTTTACACTTAAAACTATATGAATGTAAACATGTCTACCTAAACAGAGAAAACGGCAGCCAATCTGTGCACAACAAAAAAGGAATGTTAACACTTGTGTTTTCCAATTAGAAATATGTCGTCTTTGATATCAAATACAGCAAAAACCAAAGGCAAAATCTAGATTTTCAAAGACATATTGGTGTCTTTGGAACAGGAAGAAGTAACGAAAATGTACCTGCTAACCAAACCTAATTAAGATGACTAGTAGAAGGGAATAAATGAGCAACATTCTCAAAGGACAAAAAAAAAAAAAAAGAAACATTTAAACAAACAATGCTACTATAATCATGTTTTGAAGGCCGTTTCCACTGAAGGCAACCTTGAGAAAAGTAGCGTTCAGATGGCAGCGAGCTTGGAGGGTGGAAGGAAAAGGCACTCAGATGGTGGATTTTGAGAAGGACACTCGAAGGTGATGGTTCTCCCCCAGATCGTGGTTGTGGAACTCAATCAGGCACTCAATTGCCTCCTCGACTGAGCCCATCTGGATCAGGGCCATCTTGCGGTCTTTCCTGTTAATCAAAAGGATAAAGGCTTTATGAACGCGTCGAGAGGTGTGTGCTGTTAGCTAATCTGAAAAGTTATCTTTAGAGGCGTTAACGTCCAAAACTCTTGCACATACCTCAGTAGGACCAAAACAAAGTCAAATGCAGAATAAAGCTCTAAATTCAATGAAACTTAATGTATCTAATCCATCACTTACTGAAAGAACTTGAAAGCTTTGACTGTGGCTCCTGAGCTTACAAACAGTCTCTTCAGATCATCCTCCACCACAGACGGCCTAAAAAAAAGGGGCATCAAAACATGTCCCTGGAGCTTAGTTGAAAATATCCCAACTATCTAATTATACAGAATGTAGCTACATATAAACTTCAATCAATAAAATCTGTGCTGGATGAAAATGAAGTTGTAAACACTCACGGTATGTTGGAGAGGTGGAGTGTTGCAGAAGGTGGGAAGATGTTTGAGTAATTCTTGGAGCCAGGTTTCTTAAAACGATGCAGTGGTGAGTTGCTGAAATCCTTGGTGAGGCCCTGGTCCTCGTGGCCTTCTCTGGGCAGCTGGACTGTTGTGTGTTTCGACAACGTAACACGCATGGCCCTGCCATGGAGACGCTGGCCATTCAGGTGACTCATGGCTGTAAAAACAAAAGACAAAAGATAATTAATTATTGTGTGTGTGTGTGTGTATGTACAGTGGGGAAAATAAGTATTTAGTCAGTCACCAATTGTGCAAGTTCTCCCACTTAAAAAGATGAGAGAGGCCTGTAATTGACACCTTAGGTAGACCTCAACTATGAGAGACAAAATGTGAAAAAAAATTTGAGAAAATCATTTTGTCTGACTTTTAAAGAATTTTTTTGCAAATGATGGTGGAAAATAAGTATTTGGTCACCTACAAACAAGCAAGATTTCTGGCTGTCACAGACCTGTAACTTCTTTTTTAAGAGGCTCCTCTTTCCCCCACTCATTACCTGTATTAATGGCACCTGTTTGAAGTCGTTAACAGTTTAAAAGACACCTGCCCACAACCTCAAACAGTCGCACTCCAAACTCCACTATGGTGAAGACGAAAGAGCTGTCGGAGGACACCAGAAACCGAATTGTAGACCTGCACCAGGCTGGGAAGACTGAATCTGCAATAGGCAAGCAGCTTGGTGTGAAGAAATCTACTGTGGGAGCGATAATCAGAAAATGGAAGACATACAAGACCACTACTAATCTCCCTCGATCTGGGGCTCCACGCAAGATCTCAGCCCGTGGGGTCAAAATGATCACAAGAACGGTGAGGAAAAATCCCAGAACCACAAGGGGGGATCTAGTGAATGACCTGCAGAAAGCTGGGACCAATGTTACAAAGGCTACCATCAGCAACACACTACGACGCCAGGGACTCAGATCTTGCAGTGCCAGACGTGTCCCCCTGCTTAAGCCAGTCCATATCCAGGCACGTCTGAAGTTTGCTAGAGAGCATTTGGATGTTCCAGAAGAGCATTGGGAGAATGTCATATGGTCAGATGAAACCAAAGTAGAACTATTTGGTAAAAACACAACTCGTCGTGTTTGGAGGAAAGTGAATGCRGAGTTGCATCCAAAGAACACCATACCAACTGTGAAGCATGGGGGTGGCAACACCATGCTTTGGGGCTGTTTCTCTGCAAAGGGACCAGGACGACTGGTCCGTGTACATGAAAGAATGAATGGGGCCATGTATTGTGAGATTTTGGGTGCAAACCTCCTTCCATCAGCAAGGGCAATGAAGATGAAACGTGGCTGGGTCTTTCAGCATGACAATGATCCCAAGCACACTGCCAGGGCAACAAAGGAGTGGCTTCGTAAGAAACATTTCAAAGTCCTGGAGTGGCCTAGCCAGTCTCCCGATCTCAACCCCATCGAAAACCTTTGGAGGGAGTTGAAAGTCCGTGTTGCCCACCGACAGCCCCAAAACATCACTGCTCTAGAGGAGATCTGCATGGAGGAATGGGCCAACATACCAGCAACAGTGTGTGCCAACCTTGTGAAGACTTACAGAAAACGTTTGACCTCTGTCATTGCCAACAAAGGATATACAACAAAGTATTGAGATGAACTTTTGTTATTGACCAAATACTTATTTTCCACCATTATTTGCAAAAAAATTCTTTAAAAGTCAGACAAAATGATTTTCTCAATTTTTTTTTCACATTTTGTCTCTCATAGTTGAGGTCTACCTATGATGTCAATTACAGGCCTCTCATCTTTTAAAGTGGGAGAACTTGCACAATTGGTGACTGACTAAATACTTATTTTCCCCACTGTATATATAAATAAAATTTAAAAACCACTTGCTGTGTTTCTCACTAGTCACAAACAAAATTCAGTAAGTGCAACATAAAAATCTGCATGACCAACTTTTCCCTACAGTCCAGTCCCTCCACATACTACCTCATGGTTTACATAAGTTATTTCATTTTAGATACACCAGAGAAGTGATGAATAACATATTTGAAACAAAAAAACAGAAACGTCAAACCAAACATAAACCCTATAGAATCCCACAAAGCTGAAAACAATAGGCAAAATAATGTGCAGAGACAGAAAAAGCAGATAAAAGGAAGAGATCAAAGAGAAAAAACAGCATGTTGTGCAGCTGGAGTGTAGCTTACCGAGCTGAGCCTGTGTGCCATCAGACATCTGGACAAGAGCATTCTCCTTTTTATTGAACAAGATCTTCACTCTCATCACATCCCCATACACACCTATGGAGGAAGGGGAGTGTGTCACGACACCAGTGCAACAATGACAACTGAAAACAACCAATACACACAACCAATCACAGCAACAAAAACACAATTTCAACCACCAGAGACCCTAATATTTATGGTCTTACAAAGTGAATAATATAATTATTGCACTAGTCTACAAATCTTCTGCTGAATTCTGCACATAGCCTCTATAACTAAACCTCTTAATTACAAGACTGCTACAATGAGTTTAATAAAAAAGGGAGAGGCAGCAATTTGAAGATAAAAAAATAAAATCAGTAAGAGTTGTAAAATGGATAGTTTTGATCAATTTGGCCACTCTACAAGTAAGAAAATGTTGATTGATTGGCCAACTGGAGGCCTGAGTGAAAACATGCAGAAATGAACTATTCATGCACATACCTAAATGGCAGCAGACAATAAAAAATAAATAGTAAAAAAAAAAAAAACCTAAAATCCAGGGCCATATACCAACTCTCCATTAAAAAGCTGCAGCATTTCATCTTTAATGCACTCAGATGTTACACACTAAATTAAATCAAGTAAGATTTTTAGAAATTACATATGGATTTTATTTTTTGTCTCCATAAAAACTGCCAACTTGTGTAACTTAATTCAAACATGAATTATTCTCACATTTCCATTTAAGTGGGCAATGTTTTAACCAAATGGCCTTGTTAGAAAAATAAATATTACTAATGTTTGTTTTTTTCACTAAATCAGCATTCCAAAACTTGTATGAAATGCTGCAGCTTCATGTGGTATCCCACCTTCCTTTCATCACACAAACCAACAATCAAACCATACAAACCCCTGAACAGACACCCCAACCCTTCATAACCCTGTAGCTTGTTGATGGTTTACAAATTAAAATAAAACAAAGCCAACAACATGAGACAAGACATGCCCACCTTGCCAGGTAACAGTAGTAATAAAAAAGGATGAAAGGATGATAACGTACCGAAAAGAATAAAGAGGCAGTGTGGCGTAACGCTCTTTAGAGACAGCAGGGAGGAGCAGCGGGGCAGGGGGCCAAAAAGGGGAGGAGGGGACAGGGGAAAAAAGACGTAGCGGAGTGGAGGACAGTGGAGTGGAGTCGGGACATGTCCGCAGGCCACAGGCAGCGAGGTCCACAGGAAGGCCACAGTACCATGGAGGAAGGAGAGGCATGAGGGACAATGGAGAATGAAGACAGGACGAGAGGAGGAAGAGGTGGAGAGAATGTGAAAAGTGTCGAAAGATAAAGAGAAAAGATGAGGAGGAGGAAGGTCATGGCAAAATTTATAAAGGGCCAAAGAGGTGGCGATGTGTGTTTAAAATGTGGGTCAAATCCAAATGAGGGACGATGTAATGAGGAAGTGGAGGGGTGGGTGGGTGGAGTAGTCGTAATAATGGGGTGGTGCCAAAAGGGAGAGGAGGAAAAGGAACAGTTGGTCATGGGACGTGCAGTCAGTTGGCAAGATGTAAGGTGAGGGGTTTAAAACAAAAGAGGGAGGACAGAGAGAGAGAGAAAAAAAAAGGAAATAAAACAAAACAAAAACAAAAGGTCAGTATACACAAAGAAATGTAGTGCTTCAGACAGTAGAACTGGCTAAATTAAAATGCACTGTCACTATGGGAACACTAGAAGAAAAAGAAGAGAAAAAAAGATTAACAATGAAATACAGAAAAAAAGGCAGAGACAATATGTACTTTGAAATCAATTACATCCGATGTTTCAATTGGTTCAAATTATAACAAACCTACATAAGACTTATTTCTAAAATCAGATATTTAAATTACCATACTTTATGTTGTAACTACAGTAAATGCACTGAGCATGACAAATTATTAATAAACTAAAAACTATATATGTATATATAATAAAAAGATACAACATGCTATTAAAGTAATATTGTCTCTCCAACAACTCAAGAATGATTTCAACTAATGAACAAAAATGAAAGTATGAAATGGTAAGCTTTTCTTTTTTTTTTTAAATAGGAAGTTAGTTTTTTTGAAAAAACTTAAAATTCACAATGAGCAAAGTGGCAGGTCAGAAATGCAGCAGGTTCGGTTGAACACAGAGGTCCTGAAAAAGTGGGGCTTCGGACTTGATGCCTCTTTAAAAAGGGATTCAACTTGTGTATCACATGATGGTAGATGGAGAAAATAGGGCAAAATATACTTGAACACACAAACCATACTGTAAACAACAATTCAATGCTGCAGGACCAGACAGGATGCAGACCTGTTTAGGTCCAGTGAGTGTACTGACCTCAGGGTTCAGGTTGCTGACCAACAACACATTGTGTCCCCCAGTGGCAGCAAGCCCTGACAGGCCAAGCCGGCTAGCTGCTGCTGCTGCAGCCGCCATGCCGCTATGACCCACACCCAGGGACGCTAAGGCACTGGGAATACCAGGCACTGACAGACCTAAGGAGAAAGAAATAATTTTTAATAGATTTACCCAAAGTAACAAAAACAAGATGATGAATGTGTGTGATGATGTCAGGACCAACAGTGTTTCTTCACTGACCTGCAGCCTGCTGAATAGTAAAAGCTGGAGGGAAGGCATGAGCTCCACCAAAGGGGGAGGCTGAAATTATCCCTGGTGCAGCTTCATACAAAAAAAACAAAAAACAAAAAGGTTTTCTCGTTAAAACTTGTTTTAGCAACAAGAAACACTTTTAGAATAGTGCTGTACCAAACGATTATTTTCTAATCGATAAATCTAACGATTATTTATTTGATTAATCGATTATTCTAACAACAAATCTATAAGTTATTCTGATGTGAGTGCACCGGAAATTTAAAATGTTTTCATCAAATTAACAAGAACAGTTCTTTAAT